GCATCTGAAATGCGTTGCTTTCGTCTTGTGTCTTTTGTTCCCTCACAAAAAAACAAGTTTCTCCAAACCTGGAAGCGTAATTTTTGGTTGTGTGCTAGGATACTGACATGCTCTCTGTTCTGGATGGAGACCTGACTGGGGCGGCGCACTGTGAGGCCCCTGAGTCAGCAACCTCACCATCACACCAGTGCTTTCTAAAGGCCTATTCACACATGGCCCCTGTGCCTCGCTCTCCCTGCTGAGGTCAGACAGGGCAACAAGTAGCTCCTCTGCTGACAGGTACAGAATCCACCTGTATGGATTTTCATACTTGTTATCTACACTTGTGACAAAAAGGCAACTAAATAAAGACGTAAATAAAGAAAATATTCCTTTCCAAGAAGATATTCCTTTGATGAACACCAAAGCACACCACAAATGATTAAAAAATGAATGTGAATTTCATTAATAATTCCTTAATATAGTATTTTTTACATCTTCTATTGCTTGCTATCTTGATATTTTTGGGTAAGAATCTAAATTCCAGACGGAGCGCAGAGCCTTTTTGCTTGATTACCAGTGTCTGAGGGAAAACACAGCTGCCGTACTTTATACTTCTCCATTAAAAAGGTCCAGAGTGCCACCTTGTGAGTGAGACTGGAATAAACAGCTCTTTGTGTCAGTGATCAGTTTACAAAACAAATTTGCATACTGTCAAAAGGCCCACACTCCATAATATAGTGAATGCACATTTTGAATGATTTTGGCCTCAGCTATGGTCTAATTTTGAGAAGCCACTTGAGGACTGACCCCTGTCCCTGAATTAGACTTAAGATTGATTTCATGTTCTGTGACCCATTGCCTTAATTGGGCTATTCAAAACCAGGTCGCTGTGTAAAATCAAGGGTATTTTTGCAGTCTACTTTTTTAGGTTTTGATTAGCTGTGAAACCACAGTCACCTTCAGATACTGAATCCAGGATCTTACTGAGAGTGCTCGGCTGTGTGTGGTCCAAAAATAACTGTGTGGTTGTGGACATAAATCCTATGTGGAAGTGGTTTATCACCACAATAGTTTTACTTGAGAAAATGAGCAAATACATGTCTGAGTAATTTAAATCAATGCACTTTGGGTTTTATTTCTTTTCTAAATTAGAGAATAATAAAGCAAATTTCAACAGAAGACTACCATTGAAATAAAAAGACAAGCCACAAATTACTTGCAAACCAACTATAATAGTATCTACAGGAATACTGAAGCAGTCAGAAATAGAGTTTTGTTAAAACTTTTGTTATTCTATTCTGTAAAAACCATCATTTGAATTTTATGCAAAGTGCGAGCTTGCTTGCTATGTTTATGTGTTATGATGCGTGTACTGTAAGATCTGTGGGGCATATACAGATGTGGAAGAACCATGAAAAAAACAAAGAAAGTCTGCACATCCAACACAAATAAATCCTAACAGGTGACAATATCACCAGAAAAATATAAGCAAATTAAAACAGACATAGATTATGCTACAGATGATAGGATGGTTTAAAAACTACACACTCACCAGCCACCTCATTAGGTACATCTGCTCAATTGCTTGTTATTGCAAACATCTAATCAACCGATCACATGGCAGGAACTCAGTGCATTTATGAATGTAGACATGGTCAAGATGATCTGCTAAAGTTCAAAACTGAGCATCAGAACGGGGAAGAAAGGTGACTTAAGTGACTAAATGTGGCATGGTTACTGGTAGCAGATGCGACGGTCCGAGTATTTCAACTACTGATCTACTGAGATCTTGTCACACGACGGTCTCTGGGGTTTAGAGAGGAAGGTCCAAAAAAAGAGAAACTTTCCAGCGAGGTTAGATGAGGTCAGCCAGACTCCGTCAAGCTGATAACATTCGTAACAATCAATTTAATTAGAAGAGCATCTCTCACCTTCACACTGGCTCACCAGCTTAACATTTCTTCAACACTACAGTCTATCTGAGGGATGTTAACCATCCCTTTATGCTTGCAGTATAATAACCGCCTGATGGCTTCTTGCAGCACAATTACGTGCTGTGTCACAAATCCAGATAATTTCAAACTGGTTTCTTGAACTTGAGATGATCCCCAAGATCTCAGTCCACCTTTGGGATGCGGCAGAGAGTGAGAATCCCACTATGGATGTACATCCAACAAATCTCCTACACAGCTGTGTGATGCTGTCATGTCAATATGGACCAAAATCTCTGAGGGACGTTTCAAGCACCTTTCCATAATTAAAGCACTTCTGAAGGAAAAAAAAGGTCCAATCCAGTACTAGTACTGCGTACCTAACATGTACCTTATCTTGATACAACCACAGTAAATGAACACACACCTTGTAAATGAGTGAGGGAATAATAATGAAAGCAAAACCCAAAGCTTAATACCTATATTATTACAGTACGTAAATTATTTGAGTTATACTGAGTTTATTTTTAGGGCCCAAACTTATGACCTTTTTCCCCTCGAAGGTTTACTGGTTTTCATGTTTAGAAACAATAAAAAGGAAGTCACCTCCCAAATAGCAGAAATCTCCCTTTGCGGTCAGGCTTGGCGTCTGTTTCGTCTGTCACCGGCCCATCTCCCCCACCCTCTCCAAGTTCAGAGGGTTCACCGGCGTATCCAGCCATCTTCTTCTAGCACACAAATATACATAACGTTATGGTTTACTAAACCTACTGCTTTCCGTACATTAGGTGTAAACTAACCACACATTGGCGTTATTTTGAGACAAGTTTGCCTCACTTTCTTAATCTTCTTCAGTCCCACCTCAACGGTTTGAAAACGGACAGCTAGCTAAATTTAGACTGCTTTTATTAACACTTTGTCACATTGAGGCATTCAACTTGATATGTTAGCTTCATGTCTCGTTAGCATGTAGCAGAAAAGCGACTTAGCTAAAACACATAAATAAACTTTTCATTTTCTTTAAGTATACCTAAAGAGATTGATACACAGGAGTGAAGTTAAGCTGAATCGTACTGTGTTACGCGAACTTTGCTGTAGCACTAAAGTTACCTGACTTATTTTCGTTCTCCAAAGTGTCTCCTTCTGAGTTTCTGTCCCTTCTTCCTTGTGAAAGAAAGAGAAAGTACGGTTTGAGTTGTCGCGACTGCGCAACTGCGTCACAGCACTGCGTCCCTCCTACCTGCACACTTGGCACACTTGTTTTCTGAAAGGAGAAAAACGACTAGTTGTTTGCAAATAATAATAATAATAATAACAACCACAACAACAATAATAATAAAGGATGCAGTAAAAGCAAGATTAATTTATGAAGGTTTATCTTTTTTCTCTTCCAAATGGGAAAGGTTTTCGTTGCTCTGGAGCAGAAATATTCGTGACAGCATTTACCTGTAGTATATTGATCAAATTTATATCCACAAACGTAAATTAAGACTTTTTTCTGTGCTGGCCGGTGAAGACATAATAATTCAGCATAAAGCGAATAATCTATGCCAGGTATGTATATTCATTTGTTTAATGTTGCCCTAAATTACAAATGCAGTTTGTTTCTTATATATTTTTTCTGTCTCTTAATCACTGTTTAAAGTTTAAAGAAAATCTTATTCAGTGCCTCGCAGGGCATTGAAAAGCACCTATCAAATATACCAAATTAAAACTGTATGCTAATCCTCTGTTATCTGCATCTGGTGGAGCCTTAGCTGGACCCCTTGCAGTTTTCTTACCGAGGGCACAGATGCGGAGGATGCCTTCATCTACCTGCTCTCCAGTGCTTTTAACACCATTACGACCATTAGTACTGGGGGAATCTGTGCAGGTCGATGCTCCACTCATAGTCATTAGACTACCAGGCAGTTCTGGCTGGGGAGCTGCTGCTTTGACAGTACACTGAGCAGCACAGGGAACTGTTTTATGATCCTTCTTCTTCACCCTCTACATTTTAGACTTAAGACAAGCTTTTCTTGGCTCTACCACTGAGCCATGTTCCTCCTCCCTCCCCTGTTATTGTGAGGGGAACTGATGCTGTTGAAAAATACAGATACCTAAGAGCACACACAGACAAGAAACTGGACCGGTCCAAGAGAACAGAGGTTGTCTTTAATAAGGACCAGAGTCTCCTGCATCTATTTAGGAAGCTCAGAACCTTCAATATCAGTCTATGTTTATCACTCTGGTGGCAAGTGTGATTTTCTGTTTCTGCTCCTGTTTCTATTCTTATTGTAATGAAATTGTAAAAGGCACAAGAAGTCTTACTGTATCTTAGACTAAAACAGTTGATCCATTAGAAAATCAAAGAAGCATTTTAAGACATCACAGATAAAATGTCACATTATAGACTGAAGTTAATAACCTCAAACATCGAACGTCTCTGATCGCGCAAAGAAAAGTAATATGTTATAACTGATATAACCTAATATGAAACTATTTCCTTCAAGTATAAGAATACTCTATAAACAATTAATTTCAAAGCATTAAATATTTACTCCTATTACATATTTAATCTATCAAAAATCACAAAAAAAAAAATCCTATGAGGTCAAGGTATGTGACCGATTATCACAGTTAGATTAAAAACCTCAACCTCATGACAGTCTTACAGTGAACCCTGACCCTTTTGAGCTTCAGAAGAGTCTTGATTGCCTCATTTTGTGTCAATAAAGCTGTTTGCTAATGTTGGGTTAACCCTTTTCTTTAGTATTCACTTTATGTGTATTTTTTCTCGTATATCTATTAATCCTGTGTCATTGTTCTTTACATCTTTTGTAAGTCTACAGAAACTTGCCTTAAACAAGCAGCCTACACTTTGTGTTTACATGCATGGCTGATGACTTGACTAAGTAAAAGTATTACACAGGGAATCACAGTTTTATCTTGTTAGTCATGTGGAGATACTCAAAGTTGAGGTAGCTGTCCAACTGAGGATCATTACACATATAGATTGACATGTGAACTCTCTGTCACTCTGTTTCCCCCTCTCTGCAGACAGACAGCTGGACTCGGCCAGTCTTTGAGCACGGGGCACAGAAGGGGGGGTGGTCCATCATGGGACATGGTGTGAAGTAATAGCCAGTTTCACAGTCCCACAGTCACAGAGCTAAGTTTTCAGCCACCAGAGACGCACTACCGCTACTGTCTGGGATTCCCAGTTCCTCAGCTAAACGGCCGTCTGTCCGTCTGACTGACCCGACTTCATTTTGGCCAATACTTCACGCTAGTTTTATTGGTTTTTCCGAGAGATTTTGAGAAGAAGGGAAAACATTCGCCATGCAGTCTTGTGCCAGGTGTGGGTTTGTGGTCTACCCAGCTGAGAAGATCAACTGCATTGACCAGGTAATACATTAAAGCATTTATAAATAAATGCCTTCTTGGGTTAAAGTGAACACTCGAATGTGTCTGTGTTAGCCATAAAACTAATAACAGCTGCACAATAGTTATGGATATAAGATTGTTTTTAATTAAAAGACTGGACAAAAAAGACTTACAGTTTAACAGTGACATTAAAGCTTTAGAGAATCAGTCATTAAGTCCATGTGGAAAAATGTGATGTGATTACTGATGTTATTCTGGGCCTCTTATTAATCAGATATACCAGAAATTACTTGTCCAGCGTTTTTTCTCTGCTTAATGAACTTCACTTCCAGTCATGTTTCCTCTGAACACGGATTTAAAGATTCATGGTCTGTCTTTCTTTTTCTTTCTTTCATTTTTGGCAGAATTGGCACAAAGCATGTTTTCATTGTGATGTCTGCAAAATGGTACTCACTCCAAATAACTTTGTCAGCCACAAGAAGAGGCCGTACTGCTCTGTGTAAGTAGGAGTCAATACTACTGCAATGCCTATTGATCGTTTGCCTATTGATCACCAGACATGATAAAAATAAATAAAAACATAGTCTTTTTTTAATGAGTAAAGCACAGAGGAGGCAAATTAACTGCATCTTAGTAAACCACGATTGCACAATAGCCAGGGTCCCATTTTTAACGCTGTGAATTACACCTGGTGTGACCATGTTGGCAACTATATGTGTATCTCATCCTTTCAGGCACAATCCAAGGAACAACACATTCACAAGCGTCTATGAGACCCCCATCAACATTAACGCAAAGAAGCAAAGTAAGGCCAGCAGTGAGGTAAGAGGACATCATGAGCAAAACCACAGCAGCATCATGCATGCCATACAACATGTTTCAGTCCTCTGACTCACTGTTACTGTCTATGGCACTAGAGGAAAGACAGTTTATGGCTGTGTCTAGTCTAAAGATTGTTATTTATACTGAACACCGAGGTCTAAAAAGGCAGCAAAAAACTTGAGATTTGACCCTGAGCATTTCTATCCATTACTGTTGGATCACAAAGGTCTAATTCCTTCTTTACGAGAGGTGGTCGGTGGTTCTGAGGCCGTGGTGACGGACGTGGTTTGGAATGGAGACTGGCTCAGGTTATTTCTGTTTCCCTGACAGGGGCTAGATACCCCCTTCCACTTAGCCCACTTTATGCTTCAACGGGCTAAAATTATATGTCAGGAAAAACAGCTTCACATCCCTTCCTCTCCTCTGCTCACCCACCTGTTTCTGTCTGTCTGTGTCTCTAAGTTCACGCAAGGCTCTCGTGCTTATATTAGCAGTAGGCTAGCAAGCGCCTCGGCTACTGTTTTAAGCCACTGGAGGGATATGGGAATTAACATTTGGACATTTGATCTGAGGGCTGACCTCGGATCATGAGTGGCCCTCAACCCCCTGTCTAGATTTACCCCACTGAACATTTAAAAAGTATACATCTTGCTTGGGTTAACATGCAGCTTTTGCTTTCTTATTCCTATTGATTGTACTTTATACCCTTTAGGCGATGATGCTCTAGAGACGTCACTCTGTCCTGTCTCTTCCTCTGACATAGAGCTATTCTAAGATTAGTTTGGGATGGTTTTTACAGCTCTAGGATGACATACAATGTACTCTATTCTGGTTTGTTCTGGGCAGGTCTTGTACCATCTTGAGTGGAACATCTTAGTTATTAATACCAGCTCTCTAACATTATCCCTTCATCATTTAGCTTTTCAGCTCAGGTTCTCCTGCAGCACAAGAATAGAGAGATGTTTGGCACTGTTGAAGTAAAGCAATACCAGTTAGGGCTAGCAGTAAAAACAATATTCTTATTTTTAGCTGATTAGTAGCATCCAACTACCAAAATGGATGCTGCAGTCACATGTGCAGCGTCTGCATGTGCAAATGCTCGCTGGCCTTGGCTTAATGCTTGTCATCCATGTGCCATCTTTGTAGCTGAAGTATCGCGAAGATGGCGAACGCTTTATGTCCACCTTCCACTGTGACACGAGATCCATGGAGCTGGAGAAGGCTTGCCTAGCCAATCAGATGGCCAGCCAGGTGAGCTCCTGGGAGAGCAACTGGCCATTGAACCCTTTTAAAGGGAATTTTCAACCCAAATTCTTATCTTTATCAAATAAAAGAGAGAAGAATTTAAAATTATTCTTCAAACTTCCTAATTTCTTCTACTTTAGTATTTTAATTCAGCCAAATCTTTTGTCTGTCATGAGTAAGCACTTGTTTATTTTTTGTATCATTTCACATAAAAGAATTGCATGGCTTATTTAACAAGTTCATAAAAACCTTGCAAGATGCATAATTACCTGGTTTAGGAACATTTGTAATTGATCATGTTTATCTTTTATATATAAACAGGCCTTTCAGTCTCAGTCTGAGTTCTCACAGCAGCAGACCTGGTATTCAGGGATGGTGAGCAACCAGGAGATAGTGACAATGTCCCAGGCACAGAATACCATCAGTGATGTGAGTACACATTTTTTTTCTCACCGGTTGTTGTGTTGTTGTATCATGAGTATGTTCTATTTAAATAGTTGATATAAAAAACCTTAAAATTTTTAACAGTGTTGGTCACGTGGCTGATTTTGTGGCTTCTTTTTGGTGCAGGTCAAATACACAGAAGAATATGAGCAGTCAAAAGCAAAGGGTAGCTTCCCTGCAATGATCACACCGGGCTACCAAACTGCCAAGAAGGCAAATACCTTAGCAAGTAATGTAAGTGGATTTCATTTAGCTTTCTGTACCTCACAGAAAAGATTAAAATTCACTGATTTTCCCTTTCTGTTAAACAATCCATGCAAGTTTATCAAAAATTCAAGAGGCCAAATAAAATTGCTTTAATGTCTTTCTCTTCAGCTGGAATATAAAAAAGGACATGAGGAAAGAGTTTCCAAATACACAACATTTGTGGACCCCCCTGAGGTGATTCTGGCCAAGAAACAAGGACAAATTGCTAGCGATGTAAGCCCTTCAGACATTGTTGACTTTTTTTTTTAACTAGCTCTGCTCAACTATAAACATATATATTGTTACAATAATATATTTATGGATATCACCATAAATATGGCGTCACCTCTTTTTCATCAGTATGCCTACACAGAAGAATATGAGCAGCAGAGAGGTAAAGGTAGTTTCCCTGCACACCTTACGCCTGGATACAAAATGTCAAAGAAGGCCACTGAGCTGGCCAGTGACGTAAGTAGTACAAAACAAAAAAAAACAGCACACACATATGCAAGTAAATACTAATGCATGTTTGTGATTAAATGTGTAAATGCTGTTGTTTTCATGCTGAACCAGATCAAGTATCGTCAGATGTACGAACAGGAGATAAAGGGGAAAGCCAGCGCTGAAGCGGCCGCTGCTGAGATTGTCCATGCCAAAGAAAATGCAGAGAACTTCAGCCACGTATGAAAATTACTGTCACTGTTCCATCAGTTTGTTTTAATTCAAAGTGAACTAAATAAAGCAAAGTGCTCTCCTGTTTCCAGATTGCCTATACTGAAGAATACGAGCAACAGCGAGGCAAAGGCAGTTTCCCCGCCATGATTACGCCTGGTTATCACCTTGCAAAGAAGGCACAGGAAATTGCCAGTGATGTAAGTATCAATCTGACTGTGGACCCAGTGAAATATTTCTAAAAGCTGTAAGTATCTTTGACAAACATGTAATTGGTCCATCTTGGTAAATGGACTGATTCTTATTTAGCCTTTTTCTACTCTCCCAGCGCACTCAAAACGCTTTATACAACATGCCACATTCACTTTCTTCAGTGCTTTCTCACTAGCATTCACACTCTGATGGATGAATCGGAGAGTATATTGCCAAGGATATTTGGCATGCAGACCTGAGGAGCCAGGGATCAAATCACAAACCTTCCGATCAGCAGATGACCTGCTTTACCTCCCAAATATGTTGAGTCTAACATTTAGATGCTTTGTTGTGTAGATGTTGGAAGGATTGCGTGTAGTTAAAAAGGGAACTTGTATCTGTCATCTAGACATATGGACTAGTAGTAAATGTTGTCAAAACATTGCAGTGTAGTGTGTAAGAGTTTCAGCTTCATCAATCAAGTGTCCTTGTCAACACCGGGCAGAATAGCAGAGGAGGGACAACAATGAGGAGACTTGATGTCATCATTCTCTAAACTATCCGCAGTGACTGAATTAGACTCTGTTTGTGTGTGTTCCTCAACCTTGCAGGAGCAAAACTGTTTGTCCTTCTCCTCCTACAACACGCTTAGTAATTTTTCATCTCTTTCCAGTTAAAATACAAGAAAGACTTAAACAAGATGAAGGGCACGTCACACTTTCACAGTCTGACCTCTGAGGATAATCTGGCACTGAAGAACGCACGAAAAATCAACAAGATTGTCAGTGAGGTGAGGCCCGTGAGAAGCATACAACCTTCGCTAAATACATTTGTGTGTCTAGATTTATTCAGAGCGCAGGGAAAGAACAACGTGAATATTCAAATAGCTTTTTGTCTAAGCAACAGTCAGTCTCAGGTAAATGTATGTATGTGTGTTTAAGAGTGGGAGATATTGGGTGTACTGTGTCAGCGACCAGCAGACATGAAGCCTCCTGAATTGCATTTTCAGCATCTCTGAAATGCTTGTGTGGTGAGGTGACAGCTTACCTCCAAGGTCATGGCACATCCTGCCAAACTAAGGTTACCTCACACTGCGCTTTATTTTTAAGAATCTATTCTTAGCCTTAAAAATATGTTAGAAATTAGCTCTTATTCTGAATCTAATTTTCCACCAAAACCACACAGACACATTATCTCAGTTTTGTTTTTGTTTTTTTGTTTTTTGCTTCAAATAATGTTTATGATATAATGACAGACCGTAAATAAAGGACATAGCATGGTTGGTGGGTTGCATTTTAAACCCTGGAGTGTAGTCGTTTTGGCTTTTTAATCCAAAAGTAGAAATATTTGGATGAGAAGTTATCAGCTAACACTAGTGCTGCTCTATACTGCGAATTGTAAAGTATTTTAAGTAAATACAGGGCAAGTATTTCAGATACCAATGCCCACACTGATACTTTTAACCTATAAAGGCAGCTTGTGTAGCAAAGAGCAGCATGTCATGATTTTAAAAAATGAATCATCATCATCATCATCATCATCACATTTAATAAACACTAAATCACTTTCAGTTTTAGTTTACACAATAAAACACACTTTTCAGCTTTTTATTGCTTATGGAAACTGTTTTTTGGAGACCTGGAATGTAAATGTGCCTGTCTCTAAAGCACTTTGTGTCAGTTTCTGTTGTGCTATAGAATTGACAGTGAACAGACGATGACTGAGGTATATTTTTGCATTAAAAAACAAATATTTAACCCAATTCAGTGGACTACATACTCAAGTAAGAAGATAGAAACAAAATATCAATCATATAGCACTACTGTCGATCCAAAACTAATACCAGCGTTGGATTAATCTGCCCACCACAAGCTAACACTAGCAAACTTGATTAGCATGGTGCATCAATAGACTTTATATTAGTACTAAATGTGATACTGGTATTTCACACACCACGCTGGAGCACAGAGCATTAGATTTCTCAGATAATTTTATGAAAATATTTTAAACAGCTCCAACGATTCAAACAGCATCCAGACGTTAAGATCAGTGACTTTATTTGCACTTGAGCATAAAGCTAGCAGAAAAGACGGCCCCAATGACAGCCATGATCACATAACTTCAAGCACCAGTGTTTAAAGGTGAGGTTTCCCCTGTGTGATATTTTCATGATAAAGAGACTGACATGTTAAATAGGGAAATGGTTTTAATGTTAAGCTCAGCAAAGCATGTTTAAGATTAAAGGTTGGTCTCAGAGACTCTTGAGTGATGATGGAGTGTCAGTGACGGTGACTGATTAGTGGGAGGAACTTTACTGTATATTTAGCCATGTAGGCACCTATGTGCCACAAAGGATCAGCTCTCACTGTGGAAAACAGAAAAACGAGGTTGCAGTGAAAAATGTTACAGCTTGGCTGCTTTATTCTTACGTTTGCTAACAGGTGGAGTATAAAAAAGACTTGGAGAACAGCAAAGGACACAGCATCAATTTCTGTGAGACGCCACAGTTTCAAAATGCAGCCAAGGTTGCCAAGTTCACCAGTGATGTAAGTTTAATCGCAAACAGTGTCAAATGTATATAATTTGATAATTTTGTAGATTTTTTGACACCCTACCATCAACGTATTTATATATTAATACCTGATATCAGCACATGAAAATGTTTCTTTTTTAAAAAATATTTTCTATAGAACAAATATAGAGAGAAATACACTACTGGTATGAAAGGCCACTATGAAGACTCGGGTATTGATAAGAAGACCATGCATGCCATGAAAGCGAGGACGCTGGCAAGTGATGTAAGTCTTATTTTGAATCAAATCAGTGTATTAGATCTGCTTGTTTGGATTTGATTTCATATTACACAGATAAAAATAAACTATTTTATATGTTTAATTTGTAAATAGAAAATGATAAACTGTTAACTGTCTGTGCGAGTGATTTTATTGATGTGGTGGTTTTGTCCTGCATATCTCAGATTACTTATAAACAGGGCTGTGAGCAGGAGCAGGCTGAATACAACTACCCGGCCAATCTTACACCAGGTTACCAAAGCCAAAGAAAACTGGATCCACTGAAAGAGGTACAGCCTCCAACAATATAATTAAGACAAAGGGACATTTTAACGCTAAAAGTTTTTTTTAAAAGCACTTAAAATCAGAAAAATTATTAAAATGTAAAGTCAGTTCTCAGATAGCAAACTTCATCCCAGTGCTGTTGTCATTTTGGTTGCAGAAGAACTACAGGCAGCACATTGACCAGGTGAAGTACAAGTCGGTGACAGACACACCTGACATTGTTTTGGCCAAGAAAAATGCTCAGCTTGTCAGCAATGTAAGTAAACAGTATAACACCAGGCATAACACTTAATAAGTTTCTTAGTTTTTCTAACCATGTAATTCATGTGGCCTCTAGTTAAATTACAAAGCTGGGTATGAGAAGACAAAGCATCAGTACACACTATCCCAAGACCTGCCCCAAATCCAAAAAGCCAAAGCTAATGCTGCTTTGTGTAGCGATGTAAGTTTACTCTTCTCACACTTGCATCAATAGCTTACCTTCACGCGTCATGCAAGCACCCAGAATTCAATACCAATCCACATGATCTATCTTATTATTGGCATTATGATGCCATAACCCATTTCTGTTTCTTCAGATTAAATATAAGGAGGAGTGGGAGAAGACAAAGTCTAAAGCTTGTGAAATTGGTGTGGACGATCTGAGCGTCAAAGCAGCCAAGGCCTCCCGAGACCTTGCAAGTAACGTAAGTAAACTCACGCTTCTCTTTGCTGCAAAGACATCTAAGCAAAAATCTAAGTGGCTTTAATCAGGAGTAAAAGCTGGCAAATGAAATCAAGTCAGACGGGCATGTGTTTCAGATTAAATACAAAGAGAGTTACATGAAGAACAAGGAGAAGGCTGTGGGGGTCAACGTGAGCGACTCCAAGACTCTTCACTCTCTGCAAGTGGCTAAGATGAGCAGTGATGTAAGTAGAAATTGCTTGATCTGCAATGTAATAGTGTAGACTTGTGTGACTCACACAAGCCCAGAGTATAACCTCAGAGGTTACCTATTGTTTTTTGTTATAACTTCAGATTGAATACAAGAAGGGCTCTAAAGAGAGCCAGGCCCAGTACAGCCTTCCTCTGGACATGATCAACCTAAGCCATGCCAAGAAGGCCCAGGCACTCGCCAGTGACCTGGAATATCGCACAAAGCTCCACGACTACACAGTCATGGCAGATGACATCAAGGTCCAGCAGGCCAAAAAGGCTTATGCCCTCCAAAGTGAGGTGAGAGATCCATCTGAGGGCGATATTTTGGTTAAGGGGTCTCTTTTAAATGCAGAGACATGAAGAAAAAGGCAAAGAGAAGTCTTTTGGAGAAGTCTTTCTTGACATTTGTTCCTCTCTGCAGAACCAGTATCGTTCAGACTTGAACTGGATGAAAGGAGTGGGCTGGGAGACTGAAGGATGTCTCAACATCACTCAGGCAAAGAAAGCTGGAGAGCTGCTTAGTGATGTGAGTGGAAATGTGCTTGTGTTTATATTTTAGTTTGTTGCTGTTTTCTTTTAAGCACACCGTTTATGTGGCTGTTATGGCTGTTATGTTATGTGGCTTTTGTCTCTCAGACCAAATACCGTCAGAAGGCAGACAGCATCAGGTTCACCCAGGTGGCCGATGATCTCTCCATCAAGCACGCAAAGAAAAGCCAGGAACTGCAGAGCGATGTAAGTCTCCACTTTAGAGCCGGAATGAGATGCCATTCATTCTAGTGCATTCTTGCAGTATATACTAATCTATGTGACTTTTCAGTTGGCCTACAAAGCAAACACAGAGCAGATGCTGCACCAGTACACCATCACAAAGGACGAACCTCTTTTCAGACAAGCAAAGGCTAACGCGGACCTTCTCAGTGCAGTAAGTTCATTTATAAAAAAAAAATTGATGTAGAAAACAATTATTCAGATTTTTAAACTATATCTGTCATCTGCTACGTTATACAAGCTCCTCAAGAATGTGCATTTGACTGCCGTGTGTCTTACACTTGAACTGCTATAAGTTCATGCATACAATCATTTGACAAATTATGTTTTAAAGGGACTTTTTGTGGAAAACCAAGTACGTCCTTTGTTCTTTCATAGAAATTAAAAAGGTAAAAAAAACTAGCAACCAGAATCTGCAGAAAACGATTACTTCAAGTTATTGCTGCTGAAGATGATCCTACAAGTTAATGAATCATAGGGTATCATCACAAAACTGCATATATCAACATATATATATATATATATATATATATATACAAACTGTATTTTATCTTCTTAAAAACACCAAGGAAGTTTGATTCTGTGACCTGATTCGACATAGTGTTGTTCTCAGAAAGCGGAATCTATTTAAGCCAATTTCTTATATTCAGCTGAACTTATTTAGTGTTTCCATATGGCACAAAATCAAGCTGGTTAGCCAGTTATTCAGTCCAATAATTTAAAATTATCAAAATTAGATTTGTTTTTAAAAATCCACATGATGTGATATAATGCACTTTAAGTCTTTTGAAGTAGCAGCTCACGCACCGTTCAATGGGAAATTGTCTTTCACGCTTAATTTGTCTCACAAATTGTCTCTAGTCTGTCTCACGCAGCCCTCACAGTTTTTTGTGTTTCCACCTGAAGGTGAAAGCAATTTAACGAGTTTCTCAATATGTGCGTGTGAGGTGCCGATATGATTTTTTTCTTCATGCATTTGTCTTTGCAGAAAGTGTACAAGAGCAACTGGGAGAAGCAGAGGGAAAAGGGCTTTGAGCTCCGTTTGGACTCCCTATCTATACTCACAGCAAGAGCCAAGAGAGACCTGGCTAGTGATGTGAGTTTCTATTCTCTTTTACTCTGGAATTTGCAATAACCTTAGGTTAGGTTGAGTTGCAGCATTTTTAAATCATTGGATTCTTTAAGAAGTAGCATTTAGCATCTTGAACCATTTATTTCTTGTCTTTTTGCAGGTGAAATACAAAGAGACGTATGAGAAAAACAAAGGCAAGATGATTGGCATTAAAGCGGTCAGTGAGGATTCTCAGATGGCTCACTCCTCTCTGGCCACCAAACTACAGAGTGATCGCCACTACAAAAAGAACTACGAGGATACTAAGACCAAATACAGGTGAGGCCCAGCTTAGTTCTTCACACCCAGATGCATCTGGTACTAGAGATAAAGTAAAGGGAGTCATTTATAGTTGGGTATAGTTTCTTAAATCTGTATTGCATGGTCTTCTTCAATTAATTGGTAATAAGTGAAGCAATTCATTTTGCATTCATTTTGCTTTTTCTGAGTTAGTGAGGTCATTTAGCCCTAATATTTTTATCCTTATACCTCAGAGGGTAATGATGCATGTCTTATAACATTTCAGTAACTCTAAAAATGAGATAAAGCGCTTATATCAGTTATCAGATATCAGTTGAAGAGGAAAACTACTGACAGAAGCTTTTAGATTATTACAAACATTATTAGCAGATTCCTTAGCAATATCCTGCTTTCTTTTCATGCCAGCAGCAATTTAGAAGGTTTTACAGAACATCTCATTTCAAAAGGTCAAACAAGCTCTGATAAAGACTGCATGAGCCATCACCCCAGATAAAGTCAAAGTAAAATGAAGTGTATTATCCTTCTTATTAAGTAGACCCCAATCAGCAAAGAGCACTGATTCAATATAACTCAACAATAACTGACCTTTAATTTTCTGCAGTTTTGGAACAAAGCTCCTCATTGAAACTAATCTTCATTTCCAGTGTTTCCCTGGATATGCTGAACATCAGCCATGCCAAGAAGGCTCAAGACCTGGCAACCGAGACCAATTATAGGACTATACTCCATGAATACACTACTTTGCCAACTGACATTAATGTTGCCTGGGCGAAGAAGGCTTATGGACTACAAAGCGATGTAAATCTTACTTTTAGGCACTGGAATGACCAATCATTTCATGCAAAAGTGCTGCAGAATTTGATACTGATATGTGCGCACGTCTGTTTTCAGAAACAGTACAAGTCAGATTTGAACTGGATGAAGGGCGTTGGCTGGGAGGCCTCGAAATCTCTAGATGTCCTGCAAGCAAAGAAAGCTGGGGAGCTGGTCAGCGAGGTAATGTTTAACACTATGACTCACAAGGCATTGCTCCGAGTAGCTATAAAACAATCACTGTTAAATGTTATTAATATTTCCCCCTTTTTTAGTAAAAATGAGGCAAAAGTATTATTTTTTAGATCAGTCTCAATCTTCTTAGTGTTCAGTTTGGTTAGAGAGTTATATCACAGAAACTTCCAAGGTTTAAAATCATATCTGTTTATATATTTTTCAATTCAAGTTAAAATTCATACTTTAAAATCTGAGGAAATCTGATTTTACATGGTAAAAAACATAAAACTATAAAGCTCATCCAACATATCCAGGCATTCTTTCAACTATGAGAAAACCTGTTCCTTCAGGCCTATGGGCTAAATTTCCATTCAGAAGCCCAAACCTATCAGGCTTCTGCTCTGTGGAACCAGTTCTCACTTTGAGTACAGGAGACATATAATTTGACATTATGTAATTTAGCATCTCTTGTTGCCCTAACTGATAAGTTCATGTGGATTTCATCTTAATTTGATAGCTACAGGGGTGGATTTTTAATTCGATTCAGGGCGTATAGCTCCCTGCTTCTGCTTCCTATAATTTCCAGATGCATAATGGGTGTTCTAATCTAACGAACCAGGTGTTATGTTGAAGTCAGGAGAGAGGTCTCTGGTTTGAGTCCGTATGCCCCCTACTTAGCAAGCGTTTTTGACTCTAGAGCATCTTGGTGTTTTCAGACACAATCCGAGTCAAAGCCTTTGCTATCAGGGTTCTTCTAGAGCATTTGACCCCAAATCAAGAGGTCTTCGGTTCAAGTCGGGATGCCCCCTACTTAGCAAACTTTCTTTGCAGGCCTGACTTTGCATTCAGAAAAATCTTTAATATTTCCCTTTTGTCCATTTCTAACGTATAATTTCATGAAAGCTTTGTCAGGTTCATTGGTCAAGGGTGATGGTGGCATAGCTCAGTGGCAAAGCATTTGACTGCAGATCAAAAGGTCTCTGGTTAAAGTCCAGATGCCCCCTACTTAGCAAACGTTCTTGACTCTAGAGCATCTTAGCGTTTTCAGACACAATCCGAGTCAAAGCCTTTGCTATCAGGGTTCTTCTAGAGCATTTGACCCCAAATCAAGAGGTCTTGGGTTCAAGTCGGGATGTCCCCTACTTAGCAAACTTTCTTTGCAGGCCTGACTTTGCATTCAGAAAAATCTAAATCTTTAATATTTCCCTTTTGTCCATTTCTAACGTTTAATTTCATGAAAGCTTTGTCAGGTTCATTGGTCAGGGGTAATGGGGGTATAGCTCAATGGCAGAGCATTTGACTGCAGATCAAAAGGTCTCTGGTTTAAGTCCGGATGCCCTCTACTTAGCAAACGTTCTTGACTGTCATGCATCTTAGCGTTTTCAGACACAATCTGAGTCAAACCCTTAGCTATCAGGGCTTTTTCCAGGCCTGATTTTGCATTCAGATAAACGCAGTTCCTTAATATTTCACC